CCTTGTCAGTCATGTATCAAAAGATACATGATCGTCTAAGTGTGTATCATGCATGGCACACAACTGACTGAGTACATTTTGCTTTTGTAAATAAAATGTATTTCCTGTTACATAGTATTTCTATTTGTACTTACACGGGCCTCAAATTTTTTGGACAACAAAAATTAACAAGGAAAAAATGATTGAGAAACACTGTACTAAGCTATTATTCCTGAATGAACTTAGTTGAAACAGGGCGAGCAATAACTGTACAGTACTAAATAAGAAAAAGGCAAGATATTCCTAAGCATCTCCCATAGCTGAAATAAAGGGTTCATTTTGGAATTCCCTGAACGTTAACTGGAATGACAAACAACAGAAGACTGGGTTATTAACTGTCATAACAAAAATGATGACATTAATGGTCTACTCCTTTTACCGAACACTTTTGTTAGCTAGGACGGCTGTCCAATCAATGTTGCAGACATTTTTTTTTTTTTTTATTTGTTCAATACTCACTGAGTGCGCCTGTGGTTTGTACTGCAGATATACTAAGCGGGCTCTAGTTACAATCTCTGGAACAGAGAGCACCATCTTGTGTGATCAACAATTTGAAGAAGGCTAATCGAACTTGTGATTTTGTACATAGATGACCTCTGAACAGTGCCATCTACCCAATTTCATGAACAAGGCTTGGATTAACTCATGGCATAATTTCTATACACTTCCACAAAGTGCCGCATGCTGGGATCGCGTCCCCCAGGACAATAATATCAAGCAGTCAGCTCCCTGACAAATTGGACATGGTGAGATTTGAACCCGGGTCTCATGGTCAAAATGTTCTAAACACTCGGTCATACATCCAACAAGGATATCAGTATGAATATTAATCTTAACAGTGTTTCTCTTTTTCTTATTCCTTGTGTCTTAGTGGCTTTACAGCCTTGATTGGGGTATAATGATTAAAAAAAAAAAAATAGCAAAACTAGACTACCCTATTCACTTTTATGAAATTTAAGAAACATTTTTATTTTTTGGTATTCATGATCAAGAGTGCTTAATTTTTAATAATTTGAAGAAAAAAAAAATTGAAGAAAATTATTATTTCTGGTCTCAGGGCCTATTGTATAACTTCGCCATGTTTCCATAGATAAACTTACTACAGCAGCATGCCACATGTTTCAGGATATATGAGGATTTAACATGGAGATACAGAGAGATGAATGCCATATGACATGGAGAAGGACTGAACACAGATGAATGAATCACAAATAGGCATGTGATACAGTAGGAAGAATACAGGCTACATACCTGTGAAGTACTTTCTGCCTCCTGGTTAGGGTACTTGAGTTTTTTTTTTTGTTTATTTTCACTGACATCTTTGGTGGGTGTCAACCCTGACAAAATGGCCTGGATTTTCACAGACATACTCTTTTGGGTGCAGGAATTAAGTAGATTTTTCAGCAATTTCTAGACTGTATACAACATTTATTTATAGCAATGTAAGTAAAAATACTTGGAATAAACAAATATCTTGACAATTTCTACACTAAGTCCAGAAAAGAAAATTCTTGTTCACATACAAAAATATAATTTTTTTTAAAATATCTAAAAGGTACCTTGTTTAACAAAACATATAGGTATCCCCAAAAGATTCGCTAAAAAATGACTATACATGATTAAAAAAATGCTGAAAAGTTAAAAGCAAAATTTTATCATCAGAATCTTTGTTATTAAGAGGAATGATAAAACAATAGTTTATGTAATTTTTTTTTTCTTAAATCCTTTTTAGAGCCTCTAAAATTTTTGATTAAAAATCTTTTTTTCTGGTGTCAACTTGGGACTATAATTTTATGAGAAATGTGAATGTCATTTTGTGGTGAAAAAACAAAGAAAAACTGATTTTTTAAAATTAGACAATTGTCAGATTTCAATGAAACTTTCAGGACTTATTCACAAATGAATGACATTATTTTCGAAATTTTTTTTTTTTAATAACATTACCTACCATTTATTTAATGTTATGAAATTTCAAGAAAATTTGTTTTCTAGGGCTTAATGTTCATATTAATTATAAGGACAATGTCCTAAAAATGAAATCAATTTTTTTTTTTGATCAAATGGGGCTCTCACTAACAGAATCATAAAATAAAAAAAATGCAATAAGCTAAGACATTATTTAATCAAAATAGTTTTTAAGTGCTTTTATGAATAAAATATATTAGGGACACTGTATTACAAAAAACGCGTTTCTGATGAATAATGAATTTTTACAAGAATTGTTTTCATTTTAATTATAAAAAGTTATAAACTTTTAAAATTTTGTATTAATTTGTAGGCATCGGGTGATATTGTTATTAAATAAAAACTATATTTACTAATTATAAATGGAAAAGTTTACTACATTTTGTGATGTCAACAAATACTCATCACCTTCGTAATGCTTGTTGTAGCAGAGACTTTGTAATCGCAGATACAACTATAACAACACCATTGAACAATACTGATGTCAGATGTCTTTGAATACCAATCACACTAATAGTACTTGCTCAACAAGTAACCTGTATAATGATCTGAATATAGGAATACTATAGTGAATAGAGTAGAGAATAGCGGTCTGTATAGTAATAGAGGATAGAATAGCTATCCTTACAGTAATAGAGGAAAGAGTAGAAATAGGGATCAATTAGACATCACACAACTTCCCATATATGTGTTTACTCTATGGTCATGTGGTCTACTTAACCCATTAACTACCAAAGTTTTTTAATGTGCATTTTTGGCCCAGACAGGTGTCTTGGGAGTTTATTCCTTATGTTTAATTTCAGTAGTTACCATTGTCGTTTTTATAGAAACTAGAACATCAAATATATATATGTGTATAAAATATCAAAAATAACATTGATTAGAAATAATAAAAATAATACTTTTCAAAATAGTTATTATTTTTCTACTTTTTCGTGAAACGTAAAATTACGACAGAAAGTGTCTTCTTACGCCTAATAATAAAAACTTTAAAGGTTAAATGTTGTAAAATATACCTCTGCAAATGTAAGGTATGTAAGCAATTCAATGTAAATACAAGGAATAACATGTAGTGAGTTTAATTTTAACAGATCCTCAAATGGGGATCATGGCAGGTAATGGGTTAATTCAATAATGGGATTGCCTGTTTGCTCACTGGCAATCTATGTTCAAACTCAAGTGTCAGCAGCGACACTTTATTCCTATATAACACTACAATTCAGTAACACCCCCGCCATATATATTAAGAAGAATTTTGCTTCTTTTTTTTTTGTGCTCATTTAAGTGTGACAATTTTTCTAAATACAAATCTCCATACATGACATGATCTGAAAATAAGAGCAGTAACAATAAAAATTTAAAACTTATTGATAATTTTCTAATATTTCCTCAACAAGCATCTTCATAAATAAATCTATAAAGGCAGAGTACCTTAAATTCAATAAAATGTTAGAATGCTTAAAATACATTTTTTTAAAGATTAATGGGTAATTAAAAAAATTATATAAAAATGGTGTTTACATTGTGTTCGTCATGTAATTTTATAAAGTTTATTTGCACAATAACAAATTTCCCAAACATCAGGCTGTCGATAAATGTGTCAACATCTATATAAAAGAAAGAAAACACCCACCGTGTTAAAAACGAACTTTTCTGCAATATTTTAAATCGAAAGTAAAATTTGTTTTAATTCAGATTAATTAAACTTTATATCAGTTAATTTTTCTCAAATAGCTTTTCAGAAAAGTATATTTTATTTTTGAAAGATTTTTTATCGAGAGAATTATAGTGTTGAAAGATTTGTAAATATGAATGATTTTATCGACAGTTCTGATAATCAGAAAAAAAATAATTCCAATCAATTTAAGTTCAACTTGAAAAGTAAAGTATTTTTCTTATATGGAAATATTAAATTTAATCTATTAGCATGGAACTGAAACCAAAAATAAAAGCTTCAAGAAAGATTTTAATTTTTAAAATGCATTTACGTACCTCGCACTCAAAAAAGCAATACCTATCCCTCTCATGTTTTGTTTTTTTTTTTTTTATTTTGTGTATTTAAGCAGTAAATTTTCTTTTAAGTAAATGCTATTAAAAATGCCAGACATTTTGTGTTAATTTATTTTAATGGTCAACTTTTCCAAATGATGAATAATCCTTTTTAGACAAGAAAGAAATTCTGTCAGAAATTGTCCAAAGTTCATTTTGGAAGAAAAGTACAAGAAATATGGTTCAAGCTTTTGTCTTTCTTAAAACATCATCAGAGCAGGTGGAGAAAATTGGTGAATTTCATAGAACTAGTGATATATATTCTATATAAATATGTGTGTGTGTGTGTGTGTGTTTGAATGAATACCAACATTTATATAAACCTAAGTGTTTTCCCCAATGTAGCAAGGACTAAGTACACACATATTGCCAACATTTATTACTGCTGTAAAGTGTCCTGTCTCAGTTGGGTTGTATACAGTTATGTTCTTGTGCTATGCAAGGATAAGGATTTTTAGAAAGATAAGAGAGTTGGATTGTTGTTAGTTTGTAGTGTTCAGTAAAATTTTGAAAGCCAAGATCCACTGGATCTGGAAGCTTACTGCCAAACAACTTTCTAAAATTTCATTTCTCACCATAGTTAAAAAAGAAAAATTCCCCAAAGCCCCAATGAGGACTAAATACAATATGTAAGTAGTTTCATCTTTTTATTATTTATAACATATGATAATTTATATATGTGGGTGTATGTGTGAGATGTATGTTGATATTGGTGCGTATGTGTGATAAGTAAAGATTCATGAAGTAAGTGTTACTTCAAATAAAAAGAAGAAAAAGAAGTTTCTTTCTAATTAGTTTCATGCAGAAACATGTTCTGATATATATATTTTATGTTTTTTATTTTTTTTTTATTTTTTTTATTTTTTTTACAGATTTGTCAAATGTTTTTTTTGTTTTTTTCTTTGCTTTTTCTTTCTTTTTTTTTTTTTTTCTTTCTTTCGTTTCTTTTAATTACAACAACCAGAGTTGCTAATTTGGTCCCGTTTCTTGCTCAGGTCAACTGTGTTGCCCTGCGTGGAGTCCTTCAGGTCATGCGTGGTGCCAGCCTCCTCAAATTCTCGCAGTCTCTTCACAGCCGCAACAAATGCAGCCTCCACATTCGTTGCATCTTTGGCGCTCGTCTCAAAATACGGTAGCTTGCCATTCTGATCGCACCACTCTGTGGCCTCACCTGTCGTCACCTGGCGCTCAAAGACATCCACTTTGTTTCCAATGATAACAAATGGAAATGAACTGACGTTATCATCAGCAATGTCAGCATAGTACGCAAATTCCTTGCGCCACATGGAAATGTTCTCAAAACTCCGTTTGTCATCGACGGCAAAGGTAAGCAGACAGCAGTCAGCACCCCGATAGAAAGGAGTGCGTAAACTTTTGAACCTCTCCTGCCCAGCTGTGTCCCAGATCTGCAGGGTGTAACTGTCATTGCCCAGAGTGAGTTCCTTGTTGAGGAACTCCACGCCAATGGTATGGAATGACTGGGTGTCAAATTTGTTGCTCACAAAACGGTTCATCAAAGAGCTCTTGCCAACTCCTCCATCTCCAAGCAGTACGACTTTTATAAGTTTGCTCTTCGAACTCATCTGTAAAGAACAAAAGACAAAATTATTTCTTAAAAATTTACTGGATTTTATTGCATTTTTTTTCTCTTCATTCTTTTAGGCACAAATTTTATGACAGACTAATGTACCAGTACCAACAATAATGAAGAAAGATTTTAAGAAGCAATGAAACAAAAGTTTTGAAACAATGTCTTGAGATTCAATAAAGCAGAGATCCAGAATTAATTAACTGAAATAAAAGTTAAAGAACAGTTTAATTAATCCATTCCCTTACTGCTACAGTTCTATTTACATATTAAAAAAAAATCGCGTTTTATTATGAAGGGAATTATAAACATTATTAATTTTGTCCTATCTAATGACAGTGTGACACAAAAGTAAATCAATACATAATGGTAATTATATAATGTTGAGGTTGATTATTTTATATCCAGTATAAATGCTATTCATTAGCCAAGGGAAATAGCTCAACAAAAAATATAATCAAGATTTACCCACTTAGCATGACCCAAAACATAAATGCACAATGGTAATTATTATATAGTGCTGACATACATTTAATAAAGAGCAGATAAGAATACAATTCTCTTATATTCTGTAATTCTGAGATGACAGATTATCATTCCAAGACCATATTCCTTATATTCAAGACTGACTGGGTAATTTGACCTCAACATTTTTTTGGTCAAAGTTTAGTTTCAAGCCAATATGTTCAATATGAATCAACTATTATTACCATAAGCAATAGTACAAAACTGCCTAACCAAGTCCTAGTTTACACAACTTAAAGGAACTAAACTCTGATTTGGTAACCTTATTAAACCCTAGAACACTAACTTTTTAGTGATTTCTTTGTTCTAACATTTCAGCCAATTAATACTTCAGCCTTCTACAGGGGTAGAATTCCTATCAAAGTAAAATTAAAAGAATGCATAAAACTAGTTGCGTATCTGGACTTCATTTGCAAACTGAAGAAATTGTCAAATACAAGAGTGACAATTGATGTTGGGGTGCTGAGAACAATCTTCAGTAGTCAGAACAAAGTGGAAATCTGAAGGAGAACGGGAATTATCCCAAAAACAAAACAATAAAAAAAAAAAAAATATGGAGAATGCTGAAGAGATTAGCAGGACTTGTTATTTGATCTCTATTACAAACCGCCGACTTTTACATAAATTTTTTAAAGCTGAATTCCACCCAATGCAAGGCCCAAGAGATACTCAAGGTAGAGTTAGTTGGAATGGCAATGTTAAATGAGATGTGTGGTATGAATTTTGAATGGAAGAAAGGTGTTAGGAAGTGAAGATTATGAGAATAATGAGGAAAAATAACTGACCCTTGACTCAAAGAGATCAAAACTGAAGTATTCGTGGAATCACCCAAATGGGAGCCTGTTCCACAAAGCAGCTGTTCTTGGAGAAAAAAGCTGTGAGTGAAACTATCTTATATTTTGGAGATGGGGGGAAATGAGGGTGATTTGACTCCATGTAAGTGGTACAAGATGTTCAAGCCAAGAGGCTTACAACATTATGTCTGTAGGAAGAGTGAAAAATAAGTTGTCTCCCACAAGATCACATAAGCAATTTTAAACTCTATCAAGGCTAGAAAGGAAGGTTTGAGAAATAGAATGTGCTTCATCCAGTATCTTTAGCAATGGAATTTGTAGATGAGTGCCAATTAAGGTCAAGAGTAAACTTGGGTCCCAACAGGCATGGGGACTTATCGAGAGTAGAACTGTTCATGTAAAAACTCAATAACTAAAATAATAATGATAAATGTCAAAAGGAAACTGAAGGAAGAAGTCTTAGTTGCTTTATTGCCTTTGCTTAGGGTGAAATTGATTAAAAACAGGAAGAAGAAAAAAGAAAAACCAGGTCTTGAAGTTAATGTTGTTCTGGGAGCAACAATAAAACACTATACACACACAAATTTTGTTGAAAAGTTCACTTATTAAAAAAAAAAAAAAAAAAAAAAAAAAGTTGTTTCAGGGGTCCCGCCGGGATTTAAGGGTTCTGAAGATTCATAATAGATTCTGCCACTGCACTATTATATTCTCTATACAATTAAAAATAAATTAGAAATGTGCAAAAGTGATATTAAATCTCTCTGAAGTTGGTCGACACAAACTTATTACAGGTGGAGTATATCTGAAATATTAGTCAGGTAAAAGTTCTCACTTAGTGTTCAGGTCATTGGAATGCCTGGTTGATTTTATTTAGCATCATGTCAACATCACTATGAGTTATTTACTGCTGAAATCTAAATATTTTGAATACAATTTTATGGCTTCAACTAAATATATTTTGAACACAATTGTATGCCTTCAACTACAGATAAAATGTATTGTTGGTCATTTTATTATAAATAGGTACTCTTGGTTGGTTGATTTTGTTTAGCGTCATATCACCCTCTATAGGTTATTTAATGCTGAAATCTAAATATTTTGTACATAATTTCACACTTTAAGAGTAAAGGCATGTTTTATTTTTATGTTTATAAATTTTAAAAAGGTATTGTTGGTAATTTTACAATAAAAATGTATTTTTATATTTTTTTAGTGTTGCACTGATTGTCATTTTGCTATAAAAATGTATTGTGGATTTTTGTTTGGGGTGGTGGGGGGTATTATTTGCACATAATTGGAACCCTAAAGAGAAGAGATAAAAGTATATTTGGGTAGGAGAAGAGAAAATGTCACATCACTTTTCTTGAATATTGTGAAAGACATGAACAAAATACAAACAAGATTCGTACTCCGATGTGAAAGTTGAAAGAAATGTACATTTATTAAAACACATAAAACATAATAGTACAAAATATACAAAAGTTTGCACAAAATTTTCCTTTGTGCACCTTACACTTAGACAAGATAACAAGTTCTAGAATTATAATTTGTCAGGCACATGAAAATTTTCAAAAAATATTCATTTACCTCCATTCATCTGTTGAAAATGTTCAAGAATGCCAAATTCACAAGTGTCGCTGTATAATGTAGACACTATTTCAGTTTTTAAACTGAGAGTCAAAATATAGATAAATCTCATTTTTATAAAAGTTTGAAATCAGGGTTAATACATTTAATTTTATGAGACTTCTTTCAGTTTTCTTTCTTTTAACTTTTTTCTCTTTCTAATCCTTTTTCTGTTTCTTCCCTTTCATTATCATTGTTGGCTTAATATTTTCAGAAACAGCCCAGGGTCATTTGCCTGCGAATGCCAAAACCATTTTCAGAAACAGCCCAGAGTCATTTGCCTGCGAATGCCAAAACCATTTTCAGAAACAGCCCAGGGTCATTTGCCTGTGAATGCCAAAACCATTTTCAGAAACAGCCCAGGGTCATTTGCCTGTGAATGCCAAAACCCTTTTCTTTAGACCAACTTGACTTCTTAAAATAACGACCAACAAGCTCCAGATTCAATTCGAATTTGAAATTTCCATAGACATAAGTTACTTTCTTCACTGGTTAAGAAACGTAAAAATGTCTCTTTTTAAACTACACTAGTTCACAAACTTTATTTTGATAGGTTTTCAGACTACATGACTTCAGCCTCATGTTTTTACACATTTGCAAAATAAATTTTTCGCAAGTATCTTTTTCATAAACCAATAGGTTTCATTTTGGTGGTATTTTTACATCAATTTGAGCCACACATATACAAAGTTTTACACAAATTTATTCAATCCAATTCTTTTTATAAAACATCTGGCTTCCTTATAGCAGTTTTTTTTTTATTTAAAGAATACATAATAGAAGCTTTCTTTTTTAAACACTCCTCTCAAAAGAAAGTGTAATAAACAAACCTAAGGTCTTTTACAACTGGTTTTGTATTTACACTCTAATTATTTTTATATAATTTTACATGTTAAAACAGGGTCTTGCTCAATCAACGGTTTCTTTTTTTCATTATATAAGTTTTTATAGGTTTTTATCATGTATTCAATAACAGTAACAAAATTAATCCATTACTGCATAATGTTTCCTTAAAATTTTAACTCTTTTAGCTTAATCTACCTGACTGGTCAATAGTAATGTTAGGTTAGTGCATTTTCAATTCTAGGCCCACTTCTCTAAAAAACTGAATATCATGCACTAATGGTTTAAATAGTTTTGGCATCCCAACTTGGAAGTTAATTAAATCAAAGAAGGCATGGAACTTATTAAATACAGAGAGTGGTCCCAAACATTTGGCTATACTTAGCCAACTTGATATTTCACCATGTATAAAGTGGTGTGTGGATTCAAGTTGTACAATATTTGCCCTTTCATTTGATAGAAACAATGCAGTCCATTACTTTTTAACAAGGGCAAATCTGCTTGATATGGCACTCATGGTTGCATTTTATGGTCAATCATACAAGGCAGCAGATTACCTCATGCATTAGGGAACACCCCTGACTTTACCCCACCATCTTAGTGCAATCAGCAGGACTGGTCACCAGAAATCTAAAATATTTTTAAAAAAAAAAACTGTAAATTTCAATTTCAACTGAGAGTTACTATAGTGATTTTCTAAGCACAGCTTAGATGTGGCACAAGGCTGAAAGTATGGGGCACCCAGTGACTATAACTCTTACTATTTTGTTCTACCAAGACAAGCTTGCTAAACATTATACCATGTCACGGAACCCCATTTGACAGTTAATATGATTGTAAAACAGAACGAAAATGGTGGCAAATATATTGATCAGAACAACACATTAATGAATGGATACATTTTCCATATTTAAAATATCCTTTTTGAGTTAAACAAAGAAATCTCATCTGGAGTTATTTATATAGTTTAAGCTTAAACTGCTCCACTCAAAAATGGTATTCTATTAGGAATCAATAAAAAACCAAAAAAAAAAACAAAAAAACATGAAGACTTGGCACCAATCTCAGCCATTTATTACAGATGTTGAATTTGCTTAATAGTTTCAGTTCTGTCTTCTTGCCAATAGCCTCACCTTCCCACTGATTAACTTCATCTTCCTCGATCAATCAGCTTTGCCCCTTACCAACACAACAATAATCAACTGAT